ACAATATGAAATGGCGTTTAGGTGATTCTTTAAATCCTATTAAATGTAATTAGACGAACAATAATACTTTTAGAGATAATATTTTTTCATTAAACATGGTTATATTATACCATTTTGGGGTGAGGAGGGAGGCTTCAGCCCGAAAGACCCCTTCCCCTTGTAGATTCGCCTGTACTCCTTCCTATCAATTATAGCAAGAGGGATGTTTTCTTGAAAGTGCTTAAGATTGTTGGTTAAAATGAAATTGTTGGTGCTTCTAACTTCAATCATTTTTTAAGATTGAATGTTTGTTTTTTTTTTGTCATTAAATAAGCCGCTTTCAGTTTTATTCATTTTGCCTGCAACAATGTTTTAACTGCATTTTGAAATAATTAATATTGAATCAGAGGTAAAATATTTAATAAGTGAAAACCTCATTAGGCGGTTTACCACTTTTTTGTGAAGAGTGAATTAGATTGATCCGTCAGATTTTCTAAGTTTTAACGCTCGGGTAAAGTCGGCTGGAGTCGAATAATTAAAATGTTTTTATATATGGTTTAAAATATCTCAGAAACTAAAAATGTGCCTGCATACTCTAAGCGAGGAGATTGTTCATCAATTCATCCTCTCTTTAATAGGCTATAATAACTCAAAATTATATCTTAACGCGACGCCGTGTTAGAGAGGCGAATAGGAAAAAATAGTGTCGAAAACCGGACCATAACGAGGTAAGTTGAAGATATGGATTAACGTATCTTAGATACTTAAAATCGGATCTGTTCACTGAAAGAGAGGTTCAATATTTCATCTTATTTGTAATGAGCTATTATTTATAATTTATATTTCATATTATTAATCTAGCCTTGTTGATTTTTTCACTTCTATCGCGTGGTCTAAAACACACACTTTAGCTTTTTTTTTTTTAATAAACCGTCTTTAAACCTTAAACTACTTTTGACCATTAGAACTTTGTGAAGAAACTATTCTCACTCTAATTAGAATTTCTTTTTCAATTCTTTAGTAAAAATCCTTCCTGACAAAAGTTATACTACAATTTACTTTATTTTTTTAACTTAATTTAAAAATAAAATAATGCTGAATAAAATAGTACAGTTCTTTTTTGCGTTTATATTTATGAACATTTTTGAGCCCAAAACTTTAATACCCATCTACAAGCTTTTGAATTCTTTTTCTAATATGCCTGGAAAATCAAACAATTTACTGTAAAAAGAATCGAGTTACTTATGTTCCCAACAAAGTATAAATTATTTTATACTTATACAGCATAATCAATACAGCTTATAAAAAATACAGCGAAATAAAATATGTTTGATAAAATTCAATTCTCATGTTCATGTCAGCCTGGTATATGATTTAAGCAAATAAACTGTGTCTATATTAAGTAGTTTTTATTCAATTAAACTTATATGTGAATTTTAAAATTGAAGAAAAAAAACAGTTTATTGCAATAAATACTTTTTTCTCATTATTTAGTTAAATTATTTAAAATAAGAAAAGCGGCAATAGGACAATCGATAACTGGCTATCTACAGTTCGGTTAGGAACTTATCCTTCGATAAAAAATATAGACCTTTTATCTCCCAGGGAATAAAGATACAACGATATCTAATAATACAAGTATCTTTATTAGTCAAGCATTAAATTAGCTATATCTGGAAATAAGAATAGACTCCAACTATTTAGCTTACTTCAATAACAAATTTTTATTTCTAATATAAGATAAATAGATTAAAAATGTTCCTTATTTTTTAATACAATAAAGTCTTGATACAATTAGCTCTGGAGCCGGGGCCCAAAAATCGACCTGATCGCAGGCGAAGGTTAGATTGTAAATTACGAAAGTTTATGTTATTCTGAGAAAAAAGAACTTTGTCTGCCGTTCCGTTAAATTGTGCGTCGAATGAGTACATAAACTTAATAATTTGGTTACGTGGTAAGGTATAAAATCTGATTTTTGCCAAATTCGTCAAAAACTGAGACAAATTACTATAAGGCGCTATAGCTTGCAAATACGTTCCCTAAGAGGAAAAACATAAAGAATCAAAGTTATAGAACCTCAAATTTGGGACCACTGAGTACTGAATTTTTTATTGTAGGCCAATTATATTTCTGGAATCGGGATTCGTTATTTCTTTATGAAATTCTGTATCTTTCGACATATCCACTATCAAAATTCTCACATTTTTTACTATGGATTGCCCGTTTCGATCCTTAAATTACTGGCCTAATATTCTTCAAATTAGTCGCCATTTTTGAAAGCAGCGGCTCTGGAACGGCAGACAAGGTTCGTAATACTCAGAATAATATTTATTTTCGTAATTTACTATCAAACCTTCGCCTGTGATTAGGTCGATTTTTGGGCATTGGCTCCAGGACTAAATAGAGAACTCTACTTTTTTTTTTTTCTATTTCTAGGCAATAACACAGTTTCTAATTGTAAAAAAAAAACGGTTATAAATGTGACATCAGTTCTCTTGTGTGTGGTAAATAATATGGGAAAGGCTACAGATTCGGCGAATAGAAACTCGATTAACCGTTGTTGCAGAAGCCTAGTCGATTTTCAGTCCACTGTTCATATTTCAACTATCTAATTTATCCATAGCATATAATGAAATTTTGTCTTTTATTTCATATCTGTCACCAAAAATTTTTATTTATTGAATATGGATTTACCTGATTCTTACATCAAGGTCTTCCAATTTCTATACATTCTTCTTCTTTTTTTTTTTTTTTTTTTTTTACGTCTCCCAGAGATTTCTGCCAAACAGGATTTCGGTAGCAGTAGGTTAATACGTTAGGGATATTGCCATTGCTGCCACCAATAAAACACTTTATTTTTCATATATTCCTATAATTTATTTTTTTTTTTTTTTCTCCTCTTCCTTGTCTTTTATGCCAAACGGGATTTTTACAGTGCCGGGTCGGTAGAGAAAGGGGTGAAAGAATTATGCCGTATAAGTCCCACCGGAATTTGAACTTGTAATTATTTTACTATCTCAAACTTCGATTATTAGGTTGCCGGGCAACTCACGGAGCTTTGCACACGCGTTAGCCGTTCGGGCACCCCGCCCACTAATTTCTAGTATTATTCCGAAACGTGAGCTAATGAAAAATGAACTGGTATATAAACAAATGACAGTGTTATTTACTCTTTCACCAGTTATTTATCGGTCTAAATACTCTAGAATTTATTCTTGATTAAATTTTTTCTCAAGAATTCATTTTCGAAAACTTTGAGTTGTCGTTTTCTTCTAAAGTTAGTAGTCGCTTTCGTCACCCCTGCAGAACAGTAATTATATGCGCAAATGAATAATAAAGAAAAATATTTATTAATAATGGAAGCCTAACATAGCTAAAAAATCAGTATCCTGTTTAGTTAGAATGTGTAATTTTGATAAAAAAAATAAAATTATGGAAGGCAATGTTATACAGAAAAGAATGTTAGATATTTTTCTTTCCTCGAAAGTATTGATTTTCACGTTGGTAAGTTTAGTATATTTGATTTTCAATGTCATTCAATTAATGATAAAAACAGATAAAAATTTAAATTAAAAAGCTTTCCTTTTCACTTTTAAGAACCTTTATAAAATTTGTTTTTCGAGGACCGGTTTATAACTTGTCCAGTTTCCATAAATTTTATAAAGCTGTATATTACGAAAAACAGGTATCATAAAAAATCTTGTTCCATTTCTTTTTATCCGTAAAAAAATTAACTTTCCTTTCTTTTAACTCATAGGAATAAAAATATCTACATTTCAGTATCCAGTATATCCTCTTAAATAATAGTAGTGTACTTAATGATAAACACATTTTTTTTTGTTATATATTAATTGTTATATATTTTTAGAAAATGTCAAATTCGCATTTTAATTTGTCGGATATAAAAAATAATTTTAACTGTAAAGTGAACTCAGAGGTTCGGTTCCGATATCACTTAACCCTTCTGAACTTGACAATCTAAAACATTCATAGAAGTTTCAGTAGTAATAAGAAAATTATAAAATTTGGTTATTTTAGCTCCTTATTATTGTTATTATATTTCCCTCGCATTGCCTCCCTGACTGACTGTCACTCTCTATCCAAAAATATTTTTTATAATTTTTTCTCCTTTGCTTTTTCCAAGTTTCCTTATTGGTGCAAGTTTTGTCGTAGGGCGGCATTACACCCTCTACTCCTCGGCGGTCGTTAAAGTTTCTTCTATTTTGATATTCATCGAGCTTTCCTTTGATATTTCAAATAGCCCAAACCTTTTTAATGTAGTAGATAAGCAGCTAACAAAACCATAGGGTCAGCCCCCAGCTCAGCCATTATTGCTCAGCCATTAGCTGTGTCGGCCATTATTGAAATATTTTGACTAAATCTACTTATTGGTATATTCGTAGAATTACTAACAGATCCAGGAATTAATTTCGTGAGGAGTGTTTCAGCACGAAAGGTTTATATATATTATGATAATTACTTTCGAAGAATGAGAAAGAAACTACCTGCGTAAAAAAGTGATTCTTGAGGTCCAATTAAAATAATAATACTTTTTTAAATATTTTTTTTAATAAAACATGGCTATATTTGATCATTTTTGTTTAGTTTAGTTTATATACATTTACTTTTATTAGTATTATTTTTCTGTATTATTTATTTTTATTTATTGTGAATGGAGTGTGAATGTGCTCTTTGAAAGCTATTATAAATGTCCTTAATTGTGACAGATTGTTATATCTCTCAATAAATAAGTTTAATTAAAAAAATTTAAAAAATAAGGTTAATTTTCAATTATATTTTTGCGAATATCGATCTTATTTGTCTATAATAAACACCTTGAATTTATCAAATGACACACACTATTTTATTTATCATATTCAGTTACACTAAGAGCACAATTTTTTGATTTTACTAAGATAAAAGTCATCAAAGTTGTTAATTATTATAGGTTATGAAATGCCACTTGTTTTGCGATCAATATATCGATTGTTATCGTTTACTCTTGTTCGATTGCTAACTAGGCGATGGAAGCGGCCCACAGCTGGGACACCTGGTCAACAAGCAGATGGTGCTGCCCTTCATCCCGCCCAAGTTCCCTTCGCCTCTGGACCCGGAGGGCCTCATCAAGCCGTCGGAGTACCTCAGGAGCCTGCAGGCGGCGCCCCCCCAGGACGAGCCGTCGCCCCCCGCCCCCCCGCTGCCCCCGCCACCCCCGGCCCAGCCCCTCTCCACCATCACCATCCAGGACATCGCCAGTGTGCAGCTCCGCAGGACCAAGGCGGCCAAGACCATGTCCTGTCCTCCACAGTCCTTAGCTGGTGAGTACTTTAATTGTAATAATTAATTAATTAGATTAATCCTCTATAATTATTTCTTAATTAAACATATCTTTGAAACTTTCCTTTAATGATCATTTTGTTCTATGTAGGAGCGGATTCAGTTTTAAGTTTATTTATTTATTTTTTATTTTTTTTTTTTTTTTTAAAGACTCCTTTATTTTATATGAAAAGGAGTTGATCGGGGGGAGGAGGGGGGGGAAGGATTGCGGTCAAATAAATACTAAATTATACAAACAGTATTATTTAATTTTGCCCAGTATTAGTAGTATTATTTAATATTGCCTAGCATTATTTAAATTGTTGGAAAAATTAAATAATACTATTTGTATAATTTAGTATTTATTTGACCGCACCCCCAGATCAACTACTTCTCATATTAAATCACGGTCAACCACCCCTACATCAACTTTTATTCCATAATTTTTTTTATATTTATTTTAATTTTTTATTTATATCGGTAATTACTTTGAAAGAAAATAAAGGAACTACATGAGATTATGTTTTCCTTTAATTCATATAAAAAAAAATTAAAATGGTACTTACAGACACAATCATGCTTTTACGAATATTTTTTTCTTGACATCAGCTTACCTTTAGTTGATGTATGTACAGTCGTGGTCCTAGAAGTAAAAATTTTATTAAATTTGATTTACCATAATCCTCCGTAAAATCCTAAACGCTCCTTAATATGTTATAAATAAAATTATCCATTAAGACTTCAACGTTCCTCTTGTGGAAGACTTGGCTGGAACAAGATATTCTTGTTTTAATTCCAAACTCTTTGGCCACTCTAACTCTCTAGTTCATAACCTATCATCCAAAACAATACGCGTCTGAAAAGAAGATGGCCAAGGGACCTAATAAATAAATTTTATCTTTGAATTATTACCGATGGGTGGTCTTCACAAGTACTTATGTTAAATATTCGTATAACAGATTTAATAGTTGTATATATGTATACAGTAGTAAATTTCAATAAAAAAAAAATTATTTATCATATTGCCATCTGCAAGATCTCCGGATATTTCTTTACCAGTTTAAAACTATATTCAAAAAACAATTGCACCATTAAGTGGACAAATTGTTTTTTTTCTCCTCTCAGTGCGTTTCTTTTGCTCAATGTTGCCCTAACAAAGATTTTTCGCAAAACTATGAATACCGTTGATTGGTGTACCCTATCCTCGCTACTATTTCCTGTGAAAATTCCTTCACTTCGTGTAACGTCTCAATTTTAATATTTTCTAACGAGGACAGTTTTTTGAAACCGTTCATACTTAGCTTTTATCCTGGCATTAGTTAAAACTGAACTGAGAAACATTCTTTAAGTTTTCTTTTAACCTAAATAAGTAAATAAAAACAAAAACATTCAATGGAATAGATGTTATCAACATAAAAATCAAAAGAAATATGTAATGCAATTTCTATGAAAAGGGCCAAGGGTGCCCAGAAGTGGAAGGGGCGCAAGCTGTCTTCCATCATTTTGATTATGTATGTCTGTTTCGAATGGGTACATAACAAATGACAAATGCAAAACATTCGAAATTAAGTGAAAAATAAAACAACACTTTAACAAAAAAAATCTCAGTTGACAGACCTCGTCTTCAGTTTGATGGCTTTAAGCTAACCAATTTTTTACAATCCGAGTAGGTATGTTTTAAACAATTTAAAGTAAACTTATTACTTCAGCGTAAACTATATTTATAGTTATATGTCACTGTTTATAGTAAATATGTATTATCACCGCAACCTCATCAAGATAAGGCAAATCATAGTTATACGTTTATCCGTGAGGAAAAATAGTATTCTATTAGGTCGGCTACAAAATGCTTTTTTTCCTGTTTTCATTTATAATGGCAACTAGCTTCTTCGCTTACAGATTAATCGCAGTTTGAGAATGCGATGACCCAGCGGGCTAATACGTTGTGTATACCTGAGGATAAACCGAATGATTTTAAGTTCAAATCCCTGTGCTTGGTGGGACTTTCAACTCGGCATAATCCCCCGCCCATCCCCCCTCCCCAGAAAAATTCGTATAGCCTAAAAGGCGAGGAAGGGGAGACAAAATAAAAAAAAAGATTAATCGATGTTAATGGACACTGCTCCGTTCCGATGACACGAGTGTCATCAAGCTTAAAGCTTTTCTTAATTTCAATTAATTAAAGAAGTTAATTTTATTTTAAATATGTTGTATTTTAATAATAATATATTTATAATAATAATATATTTATAATAATAATTATAGATATTATAAAATTACTCTCTCGTGAGTGGCAGAACTCAGTTCACTATTTTTTTGTATTATCAGACAGTTACAAATACATATATATTACCCGATTTAAATATTTTAGAATACTAATAGTAAAGAAAATAATTTTAATCAAGCAACCAAACAAATACTTTGTTCTGGCGTTTGCATTATTTTTAAATATTTTTTATAACTATTTAAGTTTTTAATTGGATATGTACTATTATTTAATTGTATTTTTTATTGGGTAAACTCTTTTTTTTTTTTTATTTATTGAAATTTACAATTTTATTAAATGAAAAATACAACAAGTAAATATGAAATTAGTATCATTACATGTACAACATGAAGAGAAACTCCTCATTGATAGCACTCCAATTATAGTTCTTTATCAGAAGGTTCCGAGGCCATCTTCTTTTCAGACACCTAACAGGGTTGTCAGGAATAGAAGAGGAAGCAAGGTAAGAAACAAGAGGGTTCGGATGGTTCAGAAGTTAATTATGGAAGAATAGGTGTCTGGATTGAACTAAATCGGAAACATATGGCACATTAATATAATATAATGTATAATATAAGTCCAAATAGGCTTTATAATAGTAATATATGAGTCTTTTATAAATAGTCGGAAATTAAGAGCTTTGTCCAGTAAGTGCCGTAATAGTCGAAAACGTCGGGAGTTTTAGTCGTTTCAGTCTGGTATGAGGATTCCAAGTGAGTCGTTAGTCCGGGTGGGTAGGATAAGTGGGTAAGTTCAAATGATTTTTTAAAATATTTTAATTCATTACGTAACGGAAAAATGAGGTGTGCAAATACTTTTTACTCTCACTGTACTAAAAGACTTGTTTTGTGAAATTAAACCAATAATAAAAAAAGGAAAATAAATAAATACAAGAGAAAATGAATATACACAAACAGCTAATCAATAGAAATATCGAATAAAAGAGGCAATGGTTAGATTTATGATACTTGTCCAAAACGCCCAACCTTTGGAAATAAAAATCAAAATTCTATTACAAGTCTTCTTATCAACAAAAAATCCTAAACCTACGCAAAGTTCAAAGTACCTTTCCAAACTAATTATTATATTGACTTTCATTTAATTTCTTATTTATTTATTAATGTCGTTTTTTTATTTTATTTTTTTTTTTGTAATTTGAATTTCTTTCTTTATGATTTTGAATAGTTCGTGCATTATTTCCTAATTTTTCTAATCAGCTGTTAGGTTATAACCTTCATCAGCTCTTTTTATGTCTTTTTGACTGATGATGTGAGATGCGTGGTATTAGACCGCCATATTTCAATATAGGTTGTTTCTATACTGATTATGGTGAATTGAAGAAACGTAGAAGGATTAATTAATTGTTTGCTTATATTTTAGTGAATCAGCACTTTATTATTTGGAATATTCCAAACTGATAATTTATACATTCAATGTATTCATAAAAAAATGTACAGGATATAAAACAAAATTAACATTTCGTAGTAAGTTCTGTTGCTTTAACCCAATTCGAATATACCTCCCTGTCCTTAGTAATTCCCAATAATAAACAACACAATAGTGATTATTATACATATTAAAATGTTTGCTATCAATCACGATTAATTCTCGCGAAGGATTGTTATGGATATTCGGGAATGATAAATATACTCGACAATTGACCCAGAGGGGACAGTTTTGCTGAAATGGTTCCATTTTCACTGTTACTTAAGAAAGCAATTACAGTTTATTGAGTCGAACTTTCCTATTTTTTTGTTTATAATTCACTTATAGGACAACAATAACCCAGAACTCAGCTATATTTATACTCTTATATATCTCTTGATTTATGGTTATACTCATACTGGAAACAAAAATTGTATCATAACTTCTAACTATTAAAGTGAACTTTAAAATAAGATGATGTGGACGACATATAGACATACTATCTATCCTATATCAACCGAAAAACAAATCAGTAAAAAAATACCAAAATAGCAGTTGAGTTTTTCATAAAAAGTACAGAAAATGTTTTTTATATTTGTAAATTATCTTATGATCTCGCCTTCATATGTATGAATATATTGTAAGGATTGTATATCAACAGTGGACTCTCGCTGATCCGAACTAATTAAATCCAAGGGGGTTCGGATAAGCGAAAATCTCTGATTGCCGAACGTAAAAAAGGCCACTAGATAAATAACAAATCAATTTAAAAACAAAAATTATAAATAAATTAACATAATAATTAATCATTGTTTAAAAAAATATTTTTAAACTATTTTCTTGTGAAATAATATGAAATTTTCGTTTTTTTGGCAATTACCGTTGTAATAACAATACAATTCCGCAATGAAGATTAAATTAATGAAATGGTTAATTCTATCTGTGAATATAAAATTGAAAAAATAAATACGCTTCCAAATTTTAATATGTACATTGCTTGGATTTTATTTTAACTAAAAGGAGTTGGTCTTTTTAATTAGATTATTTAAGCCTCAGGACGTAAGGTGTTGATAAAACTGTTTTATTGAATGCATCTATGTAGTTGTATGTACTATATACATAAAATTACACATTCATTTTTCTTTTTTATATTGGTAGTTCGGATTAGTGATGTTCGGATTGACGAGATTGCATTCTATATCTAAAAATTTCATATTTATAAAACATGATAATGTCAAATCAAAATGGAGCAAGATAAACCTCTACTGTTCTAATCTGAGATCGGATGACAGGATAGAACGTTTTAACCAG